CTCATCTCAATCACATCACACTACCTGTTTGTTTATCCATCTACCTCCTTTCTAGAATGTGAGCTTATTCAGGCAGCTGGAGATTATAATAGGATATGTGGGAAAATGAAGAGTCCTACTGTGCTTCTGGATAGGATGAATTATACTGCAAGCCAATCAATTCCTTCCAAATCAAATAAACTTAATGCAACATCAAAATTACAACGGAAGTTTTTTTATGGATCTGCATGAGATAATTATAAAATTCTTCTTTTAAAGAAAATATATAAGAATATCCAAGAAAATTATGAAAATAAATAAAAGAGGAGACTTGCCTTCTAAAATATAACAACACACTATTAAGCAATAGTAAATAAACTGGTTTTAGCACTAGTGCAGCAATAGACAGAGTCATGGAACAGAATAGAAAGTCCTGAAGGGGATGCGTCTGTTGAGCTCCTTCTGATATGATTTTTTAAGAGAGAGGGAATTGAAGGGAAACTCTGACCATTATGCCAATTTGCTCTCACGAATCTATAAAACCTAGAAGAGAAAGAAAGGCCCCAGACATAACTTATTCTTACAGTCCTTTCCTGACTTCTCATCCTCCTTTTTTCTCCAGGAATCTCCAAACTACCTATCCCTGACAGTGCTTAATACAATTCTTCAGGCATTTTTGTAATCCTAGTGATTAGGGTAAAGTAGGCGCTTGGAGCATTATTCCCAAATATTTGCTTTCCCTTTCTGCAAAAGAGTTATACTTTCCCATCCACTGACATCAGGTAGACATGTGACTTGCCTCAGCCAATGAAATGTGAGCAGAAATGGCATTTCTCTCTTCTAAACAGCAACTTTAAGAGCCACTGTGTGGTTTCATCTCTCTTGCTCTTCTTCTATTATAACTGTTACTTGCCCCACATAGGGTCTGCTCTTTCACCGGTTCAGATCCCGGGTGAGGACATGGCACCGCTTGGCATGCCATGCTGTTGTAGGTGTCCCACACACAAAGTAGAGGAAGATGGGCACGGATGTTAGCTCAGGGCCAGGCTTCCTCAGCAAAAAAAAGAGGAGGACTGGCAGTAGTTAGCTCAAGGCTAATCTTCCTCAAAAAAAATTTCCTAGTAGCCATCTCAAAAAGTTTTTTAAAAGGTGAAATTAATTTTAATAACACTTAACCCAACATATCTAAAATACCATTTCAAAATAGTTTATATTCTTTTTTCCAACCATCTCTTCGAAATCAGGTGCATATTTAACACTTACAGCACATCTCAATAACGACGTTACATTTTCAAAGGTAAAAAGGAAATGTAGTCCTACCAAAACAATACACTTGTGTTTGATGGAAAAATATTTTAGACTTCTTCAGTATTTAGTTACAAATTAATTAAAAGCAAGTAAAATTTAAAATGTAGGTCCTCAGTAGTGCTCGCCACAACTCAAGCGCTCGATAGTCACTTTTGGCCCATGGCTGCCGGTTGGACAGCGCAGCTCGGACGCCAGCGGCGGGACGTTGGGCGAGGAGACTTGGGCGGTGCCTGTTAGCACCATGGACAGTGAACAGCACACCACCGGGAGGAAACCCCGCCGGACCAGCAGGGGAGGTGAGGTGAGCAGTCGGGAGGGGTCGCCAGCGCCGCCCACAGCGCGCAGCCCCCGTCCCCCGCACGTCCTACGGGAACAGCCTCAGCCTCAGATGCTGCCCACGCCAGCCCGGCGCCTGAGGTCGGAGCACCGGGGAGGGGAGGCAGTTCCCCTCCCCTCGTCCCGGCCCGTCGCCAGTCCTGCCCTCGCCTCGCCGGCCCAACTCACCGTCTGCGGCCGAGCCCAGGAGCTGCTCCCGCGGGGCCCACATCTGCGCCTTGGCAGACGTGATGGGCGAGGCAGCGACAGCACCGGCAGCGGCAGGCTGCAAGTCCACTGCGCGGTGCTCCTCTGGCCGCCGCCGGCGCCAGAAGGAAGGAAGCGTGTCACCGTGCGGCGCGCAGCCTGCCGGGAAGCGTAGTTCTGGAACAGAAGGCGTCCTGCGCGGGAGGGAGAAAGTGACTGCTGGGGCCGTATTGACCTTTTTGCTTCCCCTCAGGCACATTTTTTTGTTTCTACCACAGGTACCCGTAAGCAAAATAAAGTGTTGTTTTCCATGCTTTTAAACATTATGTAAGTCACCAGATAACTAAGTACCAGCTCATTCTGCAGTTTCTATAATGATAGCCGGTAACCCATTCATCCGTGTTCACTGCTGTATAGTATCTATTGTAGAAATACACTAATGAATAAATGAAAAGCAATAGAATTTACTGGAGTATATTAGGAAGCCATTTGGTTTAAAATTAGTTCAGCTGACCTTGTTTTCCCAGAAAGGCCTGAGGTGGCTTGTTGAGCATGCATTGTACATCTGCTTTAAAGGTTTACAATGTTCCAAAGCCCTTATAAATAGGAATGTTGTCTCTCCCATATAAACATTTCTTTAAGGGTAAACATTTCTTCCCAGAAACTGATGATTAATTACTGAACTGCTTTAACTAATCTCATGACCACTGACCTGCTGACCACTGACTTGCTGTGCTCACCTTGTGAGAGCTGACCTGCTGTCCTAGCAAAGCATCTTGTTACTGTAGTAAAAGAGAGATTCCTGTCATATGGGATGTATGTTCTCTGTTCCAAGACGTTGTATCACCACTCTGTACACTCCACTTCTTCAGAGTGCTTCCTGCCTTGGTGAAGGTAGTTTCTCCCAGGCTATAGTACTCAGAGGCTCATACAATAAACTCATCCCAATTTTGATTTATAGATTGACTATGGATTATTTGTGTTGACAACACCAATATCCCAGTTGGATATTTCCACACATGTCTCCTTGCACACCCGTGGAGAATTTCTCTAGGGCAGCAGTTCACTAACTTTTTGTTATAGTAATCCTCTTACACTCTTAAAAATTTATTTTTCTAGTTTTATTGAGATATAATTGACATACAGCACTGTATATGTTTAAGGTGTACAGCATAATGATTTGACTTACATATATTGTGAAATGACTACCACAAGAAGTTTATTTAACACCCATCATCTCATGTAGATCTCAAAAGAAAAAGAAAGAAATTTTTTTTCCTTGTGATGAGAATGCTCAGGATCTACTCTCTTAAAAACTTTGAAGTGTACCATACAGCAGTGTTAACTATAGTCATCATTAAATCCTTAGTACTTATTTTTCTCATAACTAGAAGTTTGTACCTTTTGACTCCCTTCATCCAATCCCCTTCCCCCAAACATAAATCTGGTCTCTTTTTCTGTGAGTATGGTTGGGTTTTTTGTTTGTTTTCTTGTTTTTTGAGATTCCACATATAAGTGAGATCACGCAGTATTTGTATTTCTCTGTCTGACATTTCACTTAGCATAATGCCCTCAAGGTCCGTCCGTGTTGTCATAAATGGCAGATTTTCCTTCTTTTTTATGGCTGAATAATATTCCACTGTGTGTGTGTGTGTGTGTGTGTGTGTGTATACCACAACTTCTTTATCCACTCATCCATCGATGGACACTTAGGTTGTTTCCACGCCTTGGCTATTGTAAATAACGCTACTGTGAACATGGGGATGCAGATATCTCTTTGATATAGTGTTTTCATTTCCTTTGGATATGTTTCCAGAAGTGGAATTGCTGGGTAATATGGTAGTTCTATTTTTAATTTTTGAGGAACCTCCACACTCTTCCACAGCTGGCTTGCCAACTTATAATCCCACTAGTAGCACACCAGAGTTTCCTTTTCTCTACATCCTTGCCAGCATTTGCTGTCTTCTGTCTTTTTTGATGATAGCTATTCTAACAGGCCTGAGGTGATATCTCTTTGTGGTTTTGATTTGCAGTTCCCTAATGATTAGTGATGTTGAGCACCTTTTCGTGTACCTGTGGGCCATTTGTATATCTTCTTTGGAAAAATGTCTATTCAGGTCCTTTGCCCATTTTTTAATTGGCTTATTTGGGGTTTTTTGCTATTGAGTTGTATAAGTTCTTTATATATTTTGAATATTAACCCCTTGTCAGATATGTGGTTTGCAAATATTTTTTCCCATTCTGTAGGTTATCTTTTCATTTTGTTAATCATTTCTTTTGCTGTGCAGAAGCTTTTTAGTTTGATATAGTCCCACTTTTTTATTTTTTATTTTATTGCTTGTGCTTTAGGTGTCATATCCAAAAAATCATTGCCAAGACCCATGTCAAGGAGTTCTTTCCTTATGTTTACTTCTAGAAGTTTTATGGTTTCTGGGCTTATATTTAAGTCCTTAATTCATTTTGAGTTGATTTTCATGAGTGGTATAAGATAGAGATCTAGTTTCACTTAAAAATTATTGAGGACTCCAAGGGCTGCTGGGTAGCATAGCGATTAAGTGCATGCATTCTGTTTCGGCAGCCCGCGGGTTCACCAGTTCGGATCCCATGTGCAGACATGGCACCGCTTGGCAAGCCATGCTGTGGTAGGCGTCCCACATATAAAGTAGAGGAAGATGGGCACGGATGTTAGCTCAGGGCCAGTCTTCTTCAGCAAAAAGAGGAGGATTGGCAGCAGATGTTAGTTCAGGGCTAACCTTCCTGAAAAAAAAAAATTATTGAGGACTCCAAAGAGCTTTTTTTATGTGAACTAAATTGATTGCTATTTACCATACTAGATATTTCAGTGCAGAAATTTTAGGTATTTATAAAGAAATTCATTTTTAAAACAATAACAATGTAACTCTTGTTAACATAAATAATATATTTTTATGAAAAATATCTGTATTTTCCTTAAAAAAATTTAGTGACAAAAGAGGCATTGTTTTACATTTTTGCAAATTTCTTTAATGTCCAATTTACTGGAAGAAGCTGAATTCCCTGTCTGCTTCTGTATCCAATCTGTTGTGATATCTGTCAAGCATAAGACCAGGGCAAAGCCCTGACAGATTTGACCGGTTAGGTAGTAATGAGTCTTTTTTGGATTCTGGCAATTTATTACTTAAGTAGACAGCAAAAGAAAAAGTAGCCAAAGGTGCCAGCTCCCCAAGGCCTCTATACAAGGTGAAGTAAAAGGAATCGGATGACTTCATCACAAATGATAGGACACATTTTAGTTCAGGAGCCAATTCTAGACTGCAGTTGAATGGTTTGTAGTCGACAGCAATACCCTGAGGGCAGCTGGGGCAATAAAGCTGCATAGCTCATAAAACTTGCCTGGGAAATTTAGGGAGATGAATGGGAGACGACATCTGAGCAGCTCCTCACGAGCCTCCCAGGCTGTCCTGCTCCAGGAGGATCACAAAGGGTTCCGCCAAGACTCCGACTCCCTGCAGTTCTAACCTTGCCTGCAGGGCCTGTGTGGCTGTATGTAAGGTCACTAGGGTAGAGCCTGTGAAATTAATACGAGAAACCTGAACTAAATTGGAGTAGGGAGAATGTAGGGGGAGCTCTCACGCTCTATGGTACATCGTTAATTACTCTAAACGGGAAGAGTTGTTCACTTGCATCTGGACTGGAAGATGTTTACTACTTTACTACACAGCAGACATAAGAATTCTCTCCCTGCCAGGCAACAGAGCCCAAAATCTCCAGCCCATGAGATTTTGCAGTCAAACCAGTGAGAAACCTTTACATTTTGGACTTCCTCTTTCTTCCAATGGATTCTTTGTTTATTACAGCCTCTCCCTACTCCCCTTTTTCCTCTATAATAGCAAGAGCTTCCTTTGTTTTCTGGATTTACATATGATCACCTATAGCCTGCATATCTCAAATTGCAATTCCTCTATCTAACCCAAATAAACTCCTTTTGCAGGTAAAACAACTGGACAATTCACTTTTTGAGTTGACAACCTATTGCCCTACAACTCTACACTCCAATCTTTCACATACCCAGCTAAGAATTCTTTTTAGAAACATAGGCCACCCCGTTAGATACTCTTATTAATTGTACTGATAGGGGTTTGGACCAAAACTGTCCTATAGGTATTAGGCAACATCAGATGAGAGTGGCCATGACTATGAAACCCAGTAGGATGCTCAGATCCATTTGGAATATGAACTGTAGCCAGGCTCCCCATCTGGGGCCCAATCCGTTGTGTATTATTAACCCAGATGCAGCAAAAGGGTGGCAATTGCACATGCTTCACCTCAAATGGCCAGCAAGAAGTCTAGGGCAGTGAAACTTTTTATCACCATGAGGAGAGTTTAGACTAGTTTGTGTATGGCAGGCAAGGAGAGGCCTGACACTCAGGTAAGAAGTAGCAGCGATCTCAGCAGCAGCATTTTGCTGATAGGGGGTCAGGATCCAACAATCATTTAAACTTGGAATACTTGCTATAGTCTGTGCAGAACATAGAAAAGAGTATGAAAATTAGAGGATGAGCCTTCAGAAAACCATACCAGAGTCCAGGAAGTTCCTCTTGTTCCGTCATCTTTAGTGGAGGCCGTTCACTCCTGGAGTCGGCAGTTGTTGGAGGGTTTCTAAGAGTTCTTAGATTAAGATTTTTCATTGGCCATTGATCAAGTTGAGGATGGTGCCAGCAGTCTGGGTTAAATTGGCCGGTGCCCTACAAACAAAAGCTGAGAGAGAGATTGATGGTCCCTCTTCCCACCCTGACCTCTCTGAGTCTAAGGCATTCTATCCCATCAGCCGGAGTTGTTGCCCTTCTTCCACAGCCAAGCGATCTGCATGACGAGCCCCTGCAGCAATCACATCACCCTTTCTCCAGTCCTCCCCACGTCTCACACAACATAGGCCCAAGCTCATTCCTAGGTGTCTAGCAACTTCTTCCTTTTGTACCTTGACCCATCCTAGATCATCTCCACCCTCTGCTGTGGGAGTCACCCTAGTAGAACCACCTTAGGAGCTGTCACCTCATATTCATGATCATTATCATCAATATCCATAACTGCCCAGATCCCAGCAGCCATAGCCAGGCAGCAAAATTAGTACTAGGTTAGAGTCACCCACCGTCTGGCTCCTCTTTGCAACTTGAAAATTCTAGTAGAGTGATTTCTCAGGAGTAGGCATGGAAACAAAAAAAGGATGAGAAGGATTACTTTTGTGGTTTGAGTGTCTTACAGCCAGTCTGGGCCTCCTCCCTCATTCCCTAACCTCATAATTAAACATTCTATCTACATAAAAGTTACCCTTCCTTGGAATTGCCCTATTTAGAGCCCAAACTGCCTTTCTTAAGTGTGTGCTCCACTGGGAGCTGAGCCTGGTTGTCCAGTTATCCTTTTCAGTTTTTCCTTTAAGAGTCCATTCCATCTTTCTATGGCCCCAACTGCTTGGAGAGGATACTGGGCATAAAATGTCCAGTGAGGGTTTCAGGTAGCTATCCACTGCTGGGTAGTTCCTACTATAAGGCAGAATCACTGTTGATTGGATGTGCTTAGGGAATCCAAATATGTAACATATTCTATCTAACAGTCCTTGAATAGTATGGTCCACGTATGCTGTGCAGACAGAGATGGCACCCCTGGTTATGTGCCCCAGAGTTCCCTTTGTCACTCAACTATGGAGCTGGCAGTCAGGCACATTTGCCAGGCTTCCTTGGCCTCAAGTTCTGGAATCACTACACATTATTTTGGGGCCTGATCCTGAATGGTAGATGGATTACCAGGCCCTGAGTGATGGTTCATCCGCAAGGCTGTGGTTCTTAACTGGGTAGTACAGGTTTGATTAACTTGTTCATTACAATGATGTTTATCCTTGAATGGTCCTTTTCCATGGGTATCCACATGATTCATGAGCAGCGGCTGTGGGTCCTGTGCAATCTGTTGCCATGTTTGCCCCACAAAGACTGAGATGTGATCATCGAGTTGTTCCACTGCCAGGCATCAGACCACATTCCCAGTCCACTATGTTCTGCCCATGAGCCAGTAAAAAAAGTAACAGGGTGAATTTTAGGGAGTATTTTCCTGGGCAAGGCCCCACAGTCCACAACTCTGCCCCTCAGGCAGAGTACCATTTTTCATGCCTAGTTTTAAACAGATTTCTTTGAGGCTGAACAGCTGCATGGGCCCAGTGCATTCATCTGCCCTGAACTTCACTGATCTACCCATGAATCAAGACTAGGCCCCTTCAGAAACCTTAGTTCTACCAAAGCCACTAGAAGCTCTGACACAGACCTCCAGATCTGACCTAGCTGCATCTGGAAGGTGACTCCACATTTTCCTGTAGATGTTGGACTCCATTAATGCCCAGTTTACATCTTTTCTGAGCAATATCCTTTTTGGTGACATTTTTGGTTTTTACCCATCCCATGATAGGGATGTCAGGCCGTAACAATCCCTGCTGTTGCTTTCTGAGTTTCTCAGTGTTCATTGATGCCCAATAACAAGCCAGTAATTGCTCTCAAATGGACTATGCCAGGTGGCAGCATCAGGAAAGTGCTGTGTCCGTACCTACAAGGGGATCCTTGCCTAGGGGCTCCATCGTTCTGCCACAGGCTCCAGTCTGTATAACTATCAGTCACCAACACTTGTAATTTAAAGGCTCTTTAGGACTAACTGGCCTGAGCAGAAGTTCAGTCTACACAGCCTGTTGAGGGGTTTCTTTAAGCACTTCTGCATCTACCAGCTCTTCAGTTGGTGGTGGTGGTCTCTTCCCCCATCCACCCTTGTCTTCTGTACTGCTTTGCTGCCATCACACAGCTGAGCCAGGGGAGCCTCGTAGGTTCCCAGCTCTGCACTTGTCCCACTGCCGCTGTCCTAACCTTGGCCTTTGCCCAGTGGGAGCATCCCTCACGGTCAGGAGCAGTGTTACTCATCCTTAGAACATCTGTTTCCACAATGCCATCAGCAGGATCAGCTACCTGGGTGTGCGGAATGTCCTTCAAATGGATCAACAGACTAGTTTCAAGGACTGTAGTAGGACCAGTGTCAGTGGAAACGGCAACTTGGTAACCTAAAAAAGACAGCCGTGAAGCACCGCCTTAACCTGGATAGGAGCAATCAAAGATCTGGTGCAGGAGCAAGTAGAGCCAGAGCCCCATGGAGTGTGGCTTTTTTTACTGTAAGACAAACAAGGACCAACTTTTCACAGGAGTTACGAGTTTGGCACACAGCGCTGGTTTTAGTACCAGGACGATTGAGTTCTTTACTTTGTAAAAGGCAGCCTTATTCTTTGACTGCCAGAGGAATTCAGTTTTGTGACTCCACCCACATTGTTCAAGAAACTTCACCTGGCAAACAGGCCTGTGAGTTTTGTTGTGATTCATCAGTCACTCCTGCTGACTGTTGATGTCACAGGAAGCAGAGACACTAAGCTGGAAACCTGTGGCCACCCACCCAACAGAACGTCATTTACGCAGTGAGACATTGGACAGTGTTGGCAGCATATTCTTGGAAGATCCCTCCACTATGTGTTGAAGTGATGTGTTATTGGCATAGAGATGTAATTAATCACAGATGTATGCTGTAAACCTCAGGACAACCGCTTAAAAATATTTTAGACGGAAGTATAATAGCCAAACGTGGATATACAGTTTAATCATATAACAATTGAAAAGAAGGCAGAAAAAGAGAGAGGGAAAATAAACAAAGAAATTCGATGAATGAGAAATAGCCACAAGATAATAGGTTATAACCCAGATACGCCAAGGCCTCCATTCAGTGTAAAAGGTCCTGTGTTACCCAAGTTGTCTGCTCCCTGTGAGTGCTGTGTGCACATCCAGGGCCTTGCTGACTAGGGAGGGACCGCCCCTCCCAGGGCAGTGGATTCCCAGAGCAGGCAAGCACGCTTGTCAGAGGCACACTGACCCCCACTCCACCTCTTCTTCTTGTGAGACTGTAACCTCCTGTCCTCACCACCCTGGCCCGGGCATCAGACCACCCGGGCAGCCCTTACATCCCTAAGCCCACGGAAATTATTCTAATTCGCCAATCTTTAACCTGGTTTCCCCCCCTTGCCTGCCTTGCCCATTCCTTCTCTGGAAAACCATAATACAGGCGTCCCCGCAGGTCCCCTCACTCTCTCTGCCTCTGACGGACCTCCTGTGGCCCAGCATGGCGGGACATGCCCCCTCCTCTGGGGAACTGGGACTAATAAGCTCTCTTTCAGTGGTCTCCTGATCTGTTGGCCTCACCAGACCTGAATAAACTAAATCCTCGGAACAATTTAAAATGAGAGAAAGAGAGAGAGATTGAGAAAGGATAAAGCAAATGGGCAGAATGTTAACGAGGTAACTCTGGATAACAAGAATATGAACTCATTTTTTGTACTTTTCTTGATACTTTTCTGTAAATTTGAAATTATTGCCAAATAAGATGTTTTAAAAAAATTTTAAAGGTACAACATTCAGTAATTGGATAAGCAATGTATTCCTGTTATTTGCAGCTTGCTTCTAGTCTTTCCTTCAATCAAATTCTTGCCCCGAGGACCTTGTTACAGCTGCACCCTTCCCTTGGGAATAATGTTTATGCTGGTTAAAATATATTTTTAATGAGTATACATATAATTTTTGAAGATTAAAGAGAATATTTAAAAATTTTTATTCGTATAAAGTGCACACAAACACTCACACAACCACACTGACAAACACACCCACACTGACACATATACCCGTCAACATGAAAAGGAAATTCACCTGTTTTTTTATCCTCAAAATAAGTTTATTTGGGAATCACCAAAGAATGGCAATTTGGGATATTCATGCTACGGCAAACCATAGGCAGATCCAGCAAGCAAAGGACGGGAGCTGCTTTTACAGAGAAAAAGGGGGAGAAGGGGCGCTGTTCTAAACAAAAGTCCATTGGGGGAAAGTAGCAGTTCAGGGCAGCAACCACTTCTCCTTGGCTGAACTGTAGCGCTTCTCCTTGGCTGGGCTGTTATTGGGTGGAGAGGGAACCTTCCTTCAGTAGTAAAGTAGTTTTACTTCCTGTCCTAGATGCGGGGGTCGTTTAGTCCTATTCAGTGTAATTGATGATGTATGCTAGGGCATGAGAGCTCCCCCTACAGGCCTTCCTGACTCCAATTTAGTTAAAGTTTCTTTTATTAATATCCACATTTATCCTTTTGATCAACATCTTTCTCCAAAATCATCACTGATCAACAGTCAGCTTCTCTGTATGTAGTGGTCTTGTCCCTCGGTGCCAAGAAGGACCTTTCCTGATTGTCATGTCCCACATGGGTAGGAAAGTGCTTAGTGGCCCAAACCATTTGGGCCACATTTGAGCAACAAGGAAGTTCAGGAGAGAGAACTCTCAGGCATTTCTTATTCAAAGTCTATAGTTGTCCAAAGTTGTAAGCCTTGGAAACCATTTCAAATTGTTGAGCTAATGTCACCTTATTAGGTGCATCATCTTTCCAAAGGCAACAGGGACAGAACTTTGCAATAGGTATACAGAGTAAGAGTAAAAGCAATACTATAAGCTCAGTTTTCAGGATGGTTCTGAATCAGGGGCCCAGACCTGAAGGTAACCAGGTGAACAAATCAAAAGACAGTGGGTTGTTGGGTGAAGCTTGTTGTAGCTAATCTTACATAACTGGGTTTCTACTTCCCCAGAGGCATTTATCCACATGCAACAGGAGGTGCTCACCACTGCACAGACACCTCTTTGCTCAGCAAGTGGTTAATCAAGGGCTGTACTTGTACAATTACCAAAGCTACCTTGGCCAATGAGTAAGTGACCATTGCTGAGTTGAAACTGTTTTGGCTCTGGAATCAGCTAATTCCTCTAGTGCAGGGAGAGACTCCTGGTCATTTGTTCACCGGCATTCAACATGTGAAGAAAGCTCTTCCCAAAGAGGCAAACCCAGAGTGAGTCCCTCATCCTCTCTGATTCAGATTCAGCACCTCCTGAGGTGCTTTACCTGCCTTATCCAACCAAAGCACTAAACAAATCCCTTAAAGTAGGCTGTGTTGTTCCCATTTTACAGATAAGAAAACTGAGGCCCAGAAAGGTCAAACACCTGCCCAGGGCCACACAGACAGAAGACTAACTGCTCTCAGACTTCTCAACTCCTCAGATTTCCCTTTCCTTTGCCCCAGTGAGGCTGACCAGGAGTGTTCTGTCCCCTCTGGGGGTCCCCTAACTAACACTTGAGACCTCAGAGGAGGAGGTCGAGGGCAGGGTCCACAGGGCCTCACCTGATAAACCCAGTCTCCCTCCTCGGTACAGCAGAGGTTTGGGGACAGCAAAAACCGCTCCTCGTCCACACTCATTGCCCCCTCTCTTTCATACCTCTTGCTCTCTCCCCTACTCGATGTGGTTGGTTTCTGTGCCCCCAACCCACTGAGGCCACCACCCACTGACTTCAGGGGCCTTCACATCGGCACAGACAGTGGGAAACCCTTAGGAGCCATCTCCCTGGGCCACTGGCCTCCTGTGTACTCTGACCACTTTTTGAAATCCTCAATGGCCCTGGATTACAGCACTGCCCCACAGCTCACACCATCCCCATCCCCGTACCCTGGAGACCTCTGGCTTTTCTCTGCTTGTCTCCACACCAGGCCCCAGCACCTACACCCACCTGGGAAGAGCTGGACAGGCTCTGCAGAGCTCCCACCTCAGTCCACGGCCATCACAGGCTGGGCTCTCTAGAAGCAGAGCCTGAGGTGGGAATTCAGAGGCATATGATCGATTGAGGGGTGTGCTCAGGAGGAGGGGGGTGAGGGAAGCAGGATGGGGCAGAGGAAGGAGCAGAGCAAGGATGTGGTCCATCCTGAGACCAGCTCAGCCCGACCCCACCAAAGCCCTGCACCCGGAATTGCACCCTCCTTTAGTCCTGACTGGAGGCAGGGGCGGGCTTAACATCCCCTCATCAGTCAGTCACTCTCCACAGCTGCAGGCAGAGGGAATGTAACCCCCAGGCATCTCCTGGGGAGGCTGTGAGGGGGGCAGCTGTGAGCCATTAGCAGTGAACGTGACATTCCACATCCAAACAGCTGGGCGATGGGAGCAGCAGCCCAGGGAGGGGATCTGGGCAGGGCACTAACCATCTACTACAATGGGCCTTCACCCCAGGCCCCACCCAGGGACCAACATGCCGCTGGCACCTCAGAATCAACATGTTCAAAACTGAACTTGTCATCTCCCCACACTCATCTCATACCTGCCCCAGGAATCTGAACAGCCCATGGTCATTCTCTCAGGAAGTGCCACCATTGTGAGGCTCCCCAGGGAACCAACCTGCCTCATCCTCTCTGCCATGACTCCATCCCAGTCAGCCCCACCCTCTGTCAGCCTCTGGGCCAACCCTCCTTCCACTCTCTCTTCCCTCTCTGCTCTTGACCACTGCCCTTGGGGGACATGTCCTTGCTGGTGTCCCTCACCATTCACCCTCTTAAACACACACACACACACACACTGAAGCCAGGGTGCTCTGGCTAAGATGGATGCAGGATCCGATCTCCCCTTGCTAAAACCATCACTTCTCTCTATTGCTCTTCACGACCTGGGCCTACCTCTGCACTCAACCCTGACCCCCACCGCCTTGCATGCCTACCCTGAGCACTGAACAGAGTGTCACTTCCCACTCCTACTGTGCCTGTCATTGTGCCTTTGCCCAAGCTGTCTTCTCTCTGAATCACCCTCCTTTCCCCCATGCTGGATGGAGATCCCCTCCTTTGCATTGCCATAACACTGTGGAAGTCACTTGCCCATAGAACTCGCCATCCAGAGCTTTACTGCCAAGGAGAATTGACAAACCGAGGGTGCCGGGGCCTGATGCTCCAATGCCATTCATGAAAGGGTCTAACATTTGTTCTCTCGTGGGTAAGAAGGTATCATAGTTGAACAGCAGGCACCTTTGCCAGCAAATCACTTTAGAGGGCACTGACAAGGCCTGCAGACCTCCCTGCCAGTGGCCAGGTACACTCCTTGATGAGGGGCTGAGATGGAAAAAATGTAAGCATCCATCCCTTTCTGGCATCAGTGGTCAAATATGCATGTTGACGGCCTGGTACCTGGCAAGGGACACCTGGCTAACATCCATGTATGATATCAAAGGACAATGCAGGGCTGGGGAATAGGAGGGTTGTCATGGTAGCAGGATGGGCAATTGTGGAAGGAAATTTGAAATGGATGTGATTGGCACAGGCCCATATCAGCCTGACAAGTGATTCCTCTCTCAGTTTGGGCAGAAAAGTGACAGCTGTGAGGGCTGATTCGTAGCATTTGCCAATTTCCACGGTGTAAATACTCCACCATCACTGGATTTCAAACTACCAAGAGTTTAACAACCAGCTCGAAAAAGTCTTGAAACTTAGCAGTTAGCTCTGGGAAGCCAGTATCCTCTGGCGCTGACACAACACCGCCCCCTGGGTTCGTGATGACAAAGAGTGAGAAGCATCTTAGGTTTCTTGAACCTGCCTGAAATCAGCTGCACCTGTTCACCAAGAATAAGCAAGCACAACAGACAACAGAGTAAACAGGACGTGAGTCCTGCCCTCTGTCCCTCTCAGAGAGGGGTGTCTGCGTCCTACTTTAGGTTGACCCAGCAGCAGCCCTCAGACAAAGATTCAAGTGGAAGTAGTTAGTTGGGAGGCAATCACAGAAAGCACCAGCAGGAGCGTGGAGAAGTGAGACAGGGCAGGAACAGAGGTCAGAAGGGGACGTGTTCACGGACAGCTCGTTGCTGTGGGCAACAGGGGCATGACCCAGCTGGGGACCTCTGGGAGGTGTAACACATCTTGGAGTGGGTCCACCCCAGGAGTGAGGAAGGGAAGATATTTTCTCACCAACTCTGACCTATCGTTGGTTGAGGCTGCTCCCTGGAGTACCAACTCCCCAGTACTTCCAGTCTGTCCCACTGCAAAGAGCCACAGGTGCTTCAGGTCAGCTAACGATGGTGAGTGGGCAGGACATGGGCAGTGTCTGAAATGCACAGTGTGACGGAGATGTGACCTGTGTATCACTCTGCATGTGTCTCCTTGCCAGAGCTCCTCACCCAACTGAGCAGGATTCTTATTTTTAATGGTACAAAATTTGTGTACCATTCGATCCTACACAAGAGCCCACAACTTAGATCTGCTACCCAGCTAAAGAAACAGTAATCTTTCTCAACGCCAGAGGAAAAGCCAGGTGTGGTGGGCAGTTCAAATTTTCAGGGGGAATTGGAACTTTGCGGGCTCTGTACCAGCAGGCTGACCTTAGAACCCAGTCAGCCAGGAAAGTGCTCGGCATGTCTGTGAGTGTGTAACAGAATGCCTGGCCGCACCCTCCACTGCCACCTCCATGTGAGCAGGACCAGCTCCGTAGCATCCCCACCTCCCCTGCACACACAGTGGATCTCAAGTCCCACTGGGTGTTCAAGAGGAGGGTGGGAGGTACGTGAAGGACATGGAGTGGGACCCTGAGAATGGAGACGCTCTCGTGGACTCTTGGCCCTGCCGCCTCACCCCATGTCCTCCTGGATGGAACAGCTGCCCCATCCATCTCTGTTTTCTGCATGCACACACACACACACACACACACATATAAACTCAGGACTTCCCAGAGTTAAGGACTCGGTTGGCCGTGTTAATTGGGAGAAGGCAAGACAGATGAAATGGAAGCCTGGAGGAAATTGCTCTCACAAGAATTTATTTATTTATTTATTTATTTATTTATTTATTTGAGGAAGATTAGCCCTGAGCTAACATCTGTGCCCATCTTCCTCTACCTTATATGTGGAACACCTGCCACAGCATGGCTTGCCAAGTGAGCCGTGTCCTCACCCGGGATCAGAACCAGTGAACCCCGGGCTGCCAAAGCGGAACAGGAAAACTTTGCTGCGCCACTGGGCTGGCCCCAAGAATTCATTTTTCAGTATCCTGAAGCCTGAGCCAGGGCAAGCAGACCCTAGGATGCTAGAAGGAGCTTAGGTCGAGTAATAATCCTGATACCATGACGAGTTGCTTCACTCTTGTCACGAATCATCTGCTGATGTCTCTGGATAAGGCTACCCACGCTGTGAAATCTTTTGACACGCTGGGGCTGTGAACCAGGAGGAAACAGGCTCCTTGTGGGGGCTGGACCCAGGTCAAGACGAGACCCTTCCCCACCAAGACACCCCTCTTCTTGGGATACCTCAGGAGACTTGGCACCCCAGTTCACCCTCTGGCTCTGATCTTAGAAGCATCTGAATGAAGCCCTACGCACACAAACAGTTGAGGACTCTGAAGCCTGGAGAGGATAAGGGGCTTCCCAGGGTCACACAGCCCATCCAGCAAAGTGGGACAGGAGCATGGGCTGAAAGCTCATTACTCTAAGTCCGTGGCTTCAAACGTCAGCAGGAGTCAGAATCCCTGGGTGGCTTGTTAAAATACAAATTGTGGGGCTCAGCCCCAGAGTCTGCTTCAGTAGGTCTGGTGGGGCCTGAGAATCTGCATTTGTGACAAGCTCTCAGGCAAGGACCACATTTTGAGAACTGCTAATTTAAGGAATTGCAGAGCCAGTCCTGAGACCTGGGGCTCAGGTGGAGGGAGGAGCCCAGGGTAGGAGGGGCTTTCTCTGATGGGGCAGTGGGTATTTGGTCCATAGGATGTTCCACGCATCACCTCCCCATCAGGACCTACAACCCAGATTGGCCACTCACCTCATCACAGCTGGCGTCGAAGTAGTCCTTGACTGGGTCCAGGATGACTGTCCCCACACACTGTTTCACCAGCTGCGAAGGGCAGGCTCCAGGTCACACTGGAAGCCCTGTGCTGTAACCTCCCAGTCTCACCCCAGTGGCTGGAAATGTTTCCCACAGGCCTCATGTTCAGCTCCTTGGGAGGGATCTGCCAGCATCCTTTTCCCCTAGGCTCCAACCTTACCCCATTCTCCTTGAAGTCACACTGCTCTGGTGTCTGCTTCATTATCCTGGGGCACACAGTTTCCTTCACCATGAAGCTCACAGGTTTTGGGGTATCAGAGTCCTTGTCCTGGTTAGGGGAGAAAATGGGGTGGCCAGGCTCAGGCATATGCTTGCCATCTCCGTCTGTTTCCTAGCCTGCCTTCCACCAAAACAGTTGCCTTTCAACAGCCCCTACTGTGTGCCCGGCGCTGGGCTTGGTGCTGGGGTACAGAGAGGAGGAGGAAGGACACATCCCTTCCCTCAGCAAGCAAACAGAGAGGCGGAGAGGACCTCAGATCAGCTGTGATGAGGAACATGCCCCTCTGAGGGGGCTGAGGGAAATCAGAGTCGTCCTGGAGAAAAGGACATTGTTACTGGAACCTCACAGATTAGTAGAGCCCTTCCCTGTGAGGGAGACAAAGGAGTCCAGAGCAGACATAAAGCAGAGAAGCCACAGCCTGGCTTCAAAGACCCCTCGTGTCCCTGGAACTCCCAGAAGTCCCTGAAGCCTGAATGTGGTTGTGAGTGGGGGGACCTCTTCCCACAGTAGAGATCTAAGGCAGCAAGCTCTCATGCTGAGAGGGGACGCAGCTCTGGGAAGGTTTCCTGAGATGTGGGACCACACTTAAAGGGAGAAGTGCCTTCCTGACAGGAGGGACAGCCTGAGCAAAGGGAGAGACAGTGTGGCCAGAGCAGACCTTCCCTCCCCACTGCCCCCTCCCAGGCTCACTCCCTTGGGCAGCGGGTCCAGCTCCAGGAGGCGGTAGAGATTCTCATCTGAGGACCGCTGGTTGAGGCCATCCACGGCACGGAGCACGGCCTCCTTGTAGCTGAGGGCCTGAGTGGTGGCCGGAGGGATCACCAGGCCCAGTAGAAGTAGCAACGGTGACCATCTACCCAGGCAACGGGTGTTCCTCTGGGTCTCCATGGTCCCCAACTCTGTCTCCTCCCAGCCTACAAGATCCTCCTGTATGTGCAGCCTGGGGCTGATGCAAAGGCAGAACCAGGAGGCTTCTGACCCACCCCATCACTGGCAGCCTGCCAGGATGAGGCCTGGGTTTCCCTCAGCCCTTGCTGTTGCCTCATCGGGCTTCCTGGACAGTAGGCAAGATATATCTTATGTGTAAGTGAAGAAATGTTTCCTCCATCTCTGTGACAAGGTCTTGGCCTCTCCTGGGCCACGCTGGGGAGTGTCACAGTCAGGGTTGCTTAAGAGGGTTCAGTCCTCCATGAGAGGAAGGGAGCCAGGCACGTATCCTATATCCTTCTCCCCTCCCCACCAGGGCCTCCTCAGAAACCAGGTTATTACTGTGTATACACCACTAAATGTCCACCTCTAGGCACTGCAGGGCACCCAGCAGGCACCCAGTTCATAGCTGATGAATGAATAACAGTAACCCCCCTCCTCTGGAGCCTCACCCACCCAGCCAGTTCCAAGGGAGACTTTCAAGGCCACACCATCCCGTTCTCTGGACCCAGCCCTCAGCTAGTTCAGGGGTTTGGGACCATCTGTCTCCTCTCCTGGATTCTTGACCACTGCTTTTCTCAGTCTAAAAATATCCCAGCCCCTACCAGATGTGGCCTATTGTCCTGGCCCCTCCTCAACCCAGCCTGAGGAAGGGTCATCTACACTCGTTGACCCACTTCTTCACTCTCTCACACTCAAGGCCTCTGCAGGCTGCTCTGCCCTCACTGGACCCTGTGGCCACTCTCAAGCCTTGTCTTTACCTATGCAGGTTCTAGTGACACTCTCTCCTCCTCAAACTGTCCCCTGCCCCAGTCTCCTGATGCCACTCTCCTGGGTTCCCTCCTGCCTCCCTGGTGGCTCCTGCTCCGTCTCCTCCAAGGACACTCCCCTTGATGAGGAGAGCTGCAGACTCGCATCCCAGGCTGCTTCTCCTCCCAGTCCTCGCATCTCCCTGGGACCCCAGTTATCGTGATCAGACCTCTCCTGCTCTGTGCCTCTGAGTTCAAGTCCCCCATGAATACCCATGGCTGTCCCCATGGGGCCCCCTGGCCTGCTGTGCTGCTGGGTGCTGCTGCATGGGCCCTGAGCTCACAGCCTGGGGAGCACCCACCTGCTCCTACTTCCTCCTGGGGACTCACCCCCTGACCTCCCCCAGCGCCCCTGCCCTGGTTCCTACCACCATCTTCTCTCCTCTGAAGTGCGGACACTGCCTCCAGACTCCACGTTTCCAGGTTCCAGGACCCCCCAGACCACAGACACTCTCCACGCCATTGTCCAGGGGCTCCTCCAAACAGCTGATTTGGCCATTTCACTCCCTGCCTTCAGGAGCCCACACTGCCTGGGCCTGGTCTCAGAGCCTGGATGTTACTGCTCCCCATTGCCCTCACCCAGACCCTGCTCATCCCAGGCGCCAGGCTGCCACACACCCCAACCCTCAGCCTCCTCTGAGCCTCCTGCTCTTTCCCCCACCTCTGCACCTGATCCCTCGCTTGGCATGCCTTCCAGCCTGTGAAGACTCCCCTGACCTCCCACCAGACACAGCAACCTCCTTCTTTGCTCCCACAGCCTCCACAGAGTCTCCTCTGATTTGACCCCAGCGACTCCCTGTCCAGTGCTCTGATTGAGACACCAAACTGGGGTGGCTGATGCTGGCAGGTGGAGAGAGCACAGCTGGGAGAGATGATGAGGCAAAGTGATAGAGGGGTCCAGGGACCATGAGGTAACATATAGTCCCAGCTCTCCTGTGGAATGGCTACGAGGCTGAGAGGCCTGGTGTGGCTCCTGGCTTCAGTTGGCCTGTGGGACTCTTGGGCACTTGCACGGGGATCCTTGGGAGACAGCAGCTAGAATAAAAATTGCTGGTTGCGCACTCAGCCTCGGGAAAAGGAAAGAGAAATGGGCTTCTGTGCATCCTGGTTTCACAGTCCAGGTATTGCCCCAGTGGCCTCTTGGTCAAGCAGAGCTTGCACATCAGGGACCTTCATAGCAGTTGGGAGGAGGGTCAACCCAGCTCTCCTGGCTCCCTCACTTTCTTTGTTAACTTCAGGGTCCCCAAGGAGCCAAACTGGGACATAAGTGGGTATCAATGTTAGTCCTTAGACTGTGGTGTGAGCCCGGTCCAGTCCCGCCTTCCTCTAGGTCAGATCCAGCACACTCAGAGATCCTGCCCGACTGGCTGAAGGGGACATTCCGCCTAGGCCAATACCAGACACTCCTCTCACTTGGAATCGGCCTGAGCCCAAGGGCTTCCACAGGTCCTCTGATGCAAGTCCGAAGTCTGGCTCCAGGGGCACTCATCTTCCTTCTCTGGGCCACAGCACAGGGTCCAGGCTTCCCAGGTTCCAGGAGTGAGCCCTGTCCCTGGCCGAGTACCTGTGAGTGGGTGTCCACCCCGTGAGGAGGGAGGTGGACTCAGACCCTCAGAACCCAGGGCTGCGCCTCTGCTGGGGAGGAAGGGGAGAGGCTCTCCCCAGCTTTCCATTCTCATGATGTCTCCTCCCATTAACAAGGTGATCAGAAGATTCCAGATCAGAAAGCAAAAAACAAAGAAGCTTTTGCACATGAGGCCTGGAGAGATGGGCCCTGTGTGGTCAAGGAACTTGGTCCACAGAGGCTGCTGAGGGCTCTGGGAGGCCTTCCATGGATGAACAGATGCTAGAGTTCCCTCCCTCATTCCAGAATCCCTCCTTCTCCTGAAACAGGACTGACCTTAGTCCCTTCTTTCCCTTCCCTCTCCAGCTCCCTGTGCAAAGTCCTGGAGCCTGAAGAGCCAATGGCTGCCTGGCTGAGGCACCCAACCCCTCAGGCCTGCTCGCCCCTCAGATGACCTTCGGCAGGATGGTCCGCTTGTCTGAAAGGGAGGACTATGCAGACAGCGTGGTCATCCTCTCAGGGAGCACCCTAGCCATCCTCAGCCTCTGTCTCTGTGTGCAAGCCACTGTCCCTCCCCGTGCCCAGAGTCCGTGGTCTGCACACCAAGAAGCCCAGGACTTGAGAGTTAAAGAACTCAGGCCTCTGCACCTGGCTGCCTGGGGTCCAGGCTCAGCCCTGCCGTGACCTGCTGTGTGGTCTTAGGCAATGTGTACACACTCTGTGTCTCAGTTTCTTCATCTTTAAAACAGGGATGATAACTACAGTGTCCAGTTCATATAACGGTTGGGAAGACCAAGCACAATGTGGTGTGGGCTCAGGATGTGTCAGTGCATTGTTGACGTGAGCTCCTGGGTTAAAACTTCAGAAGCAAACAGGAGCCAGGAGGTAGGGAACTTGAGTGACTCAGCAAGAGCTGCCCTCCCTCAGGACGTCAGAATCCTCTAAACTGAGGGCTTCACACAAGATGGTCCCCAAGGACACTTTGGACCCTTGGTTTATATTTTCAGGAGCAACCTGAAAGAAATGAGGCTCTAAGGAGGGGTCTTCAGGGGCAGTTTAAGACAAACACTTTATTACAGGATCTCCAACCCTAGTGCTGGGGGCCGGAGGGGAAGGCTCCCAAGGCCAACCACTGCTGGGATCTCCCTCCCCACCCTGGACAAGTGGACACGTAGGCCACACCCCATGAGCTCCTCCAGGGAGCAGAGGGAAGCAATCTGATGGAAGACAGACCAACAGGCTCACTGATCAGTTTTTCGTTCTTATTGGGCACGTTACTCAACCTGCCTGCGCCAACTCTGCCCTGAAGTGGGTCCCTGAGGTCTGCCGGGAGGGCTGTGAGGACTAGAGCAGCAATGAGTGTGCGGAAACACCTGACACGCAGCTCGTGCTCATGGACTACCTGAGCAGACAGCCCACCCCCACAGTGGACCCAGATGGACTTTCAACTCTGCAAAGCAGCTGAGCTAGGAGGTTCCCTGGCATGGTCCTGGAAGCACAGGTAGCTGAACCTGCCATTCAGGCAAGTTGCATCCCTTCCCAGAGCCATAGTTTTCTGGCATAATCTTGGAGACAGAAACCCCAACCCCATGGACAGCAGTGTAATGGAGTCAGCTGCATAGTCAGGGACAGATGTGCTGATGTCCTGTGTCATAGAGGGCACCAGCCACAGGGTCTGCCCAGACCCCACAGTTCCACTTTCTACCTTTCTTTCACCCGAAGTATTGGACCCCCAGGAGACTTGGAGAGGGCAGTCCCAAGCCCCATCCTTTACCAGCTGAGTCACTTTGAGCACATTGCTTTGCTTTTCCCAGCCTCATTGTCCTCATATGTAGGATGGGAATTACATGTCCGTCAGGGTTGGCACGGGGAGAAATGGGACAGCGAGTGAGAAAGGACATGTTCACCATCAAGTCCTGCACTCCCAGGGCATTTCCCTGAGAGAAGTCACGGTCAGGTCTCCTTGCTCTGGGATGTCTCAGGCCCAAGTGTCCCCCAACAGACACACGCACACTTGGGAGCTGTGCCCTGTCTCCCTGCCAACAACTCCGCCCACTGCCCCAGGCGCGGCCACATATCTGCTCAGGCGGACTTTCAGGAAGTCAGCCCAATGTCACCCCCGGCTGGCATCCTCTGTGATGCACCCTCCACCCAACACCAGGATGGGAGATGGCTCCCCAACCCCACCTTCTGTCTCAGGCTGGGTTCATATGTCAGGCTGGTCCCCAGGGTGGGACCACCTGTCTCCTCAGATAAGGGTCATGGAGGCCTGGGTGGCCCCCTCACATGGGGACTCCCCCACTCGTCCCTTCTTTCCAGCTTCCCAATGGCGGGACTATACCTCCCCTCAGGCCATGGGCTTCCCAAATGTGACAACATTGTCTGCCCCTCAGACAGGGGCTCCCAAGGACCAGACCCTGCGTTCCGTTCAGCCCTCAATCTCCAAAGGACCCTTTTATTTCTTGGCCCTCTCTCAGGACTGGGAACTTGGCTCTAGCTTCAGGGGGGTCCTGGTGGGTGTGGGTAGCAGCCAGCAGGTCCAGAGCCAGGTTCAGAAAACATTTCTCAAAAGAAGAACTACACAGCAT